CGCCCCCGCAACACAAGCAGAACGCGACGGCGATACCCGACCAGATCGGTGGGCAGCTTCAGCACCACCTCCGCCGCCCGACGGCGGCGGCGGCGACTCCTGCATCGCCCCTACAACAGCACCAGTGCGCTTATCATCCCGTCCGACAGGGGCCCTCCGGATGACCGTCTTCCGCCCTCCTCCTCGCCGTGGCGCCACCGTTCCTTGCTCCTCAGGGGACGGCTGCTGCGTCTCGGGGACGGCAGGATGCCCCCCGCTCTGCGGCGTGCCCTCCGGCTCCGCTCCGCTGCGCCCCGTCGACGCCACCGGGTCGCTGCCGCGGCCGGGTGAGTTCCTCGAGGTAGGAGGCGATTGCGTCCCCGCTAGTGACGGCCGCAGCGGCGCCTGCGGGGACGGCTGGGTCTCGGGTACGGACACGGCGCCCGCGCTGGTTTCATCTGCCGCCCGCCGTGCTCGGCCGTCTCCGCCGCGAGTCGCCGCCGCCTCCGCCTCCGCCTCCGCCTCCGCTACGACGCGATCCGCAGAGCAACCCCGAGGGCTTCGAGCCGCCCTTCCCTGACCCCCTTCGCCTGCCTTCGGAGCTGCTCGAGGAGGGGATCCTTGGGTCTCGGGGATGGATTCAGGAGGGCCTGCACTGGCGCTGGCGTTAGCGTTGGCGTTGGCGGTAGCGATCGGTGGAGTCTTTGTCGCGCTCCTGGTTCGGCGCCGCGTCGTTGTCGCGGCTGCTGCGACGGGGCGGTTTCGGCGGGAGGGCGCTTGCGGGGTCTCGGGGATGGGGGCGCAGACGTCCGCTTCCGCCGCCGGCGTGGATCGAGGTGGTGGCGATGGAGACGACAGAGGCGGCGACGATGATGTTGAGGCGCCGCGCTTGGCGAAAGGGCCCGGCGGTGGCGATGGCGCGGGTTCGAGCGCCTCCGGGATGGAGCCGGGGGGCGTCTCGAGGACGCACAACAACTTCGGGTGGGCATGCGTGAAAAGGGGTAGGGGTAAGAGGGTAAGGCGAGAGAGAGAGAGAGAGAGAGAGAGAGAGAGGAGGGGGGAGAATGAGGGATAAAGAGGGAGAGAGAGCAAATCAAGTGGAAGAGAGGGTGAGAGAGACAAGAATGGGAATAGGTTTGCACTAGAGACGCCGCCGGACATACTCACGCTAATGGGGTGTACTACCCCCCACGAGCGCATGGCAATGGGTGATCACCGACATCTTCCAGAACGACAATCGACAGCGCGTCAGGGAGGTGCTAGAACGCCAACATGCAGCTGCAGGCAAGAACCAACTGTGACGAAGCCCGTAGCCCCTCAAACAAGACGGCAGTAACGCAGCTTCAGCACCCACATACCTGCGGGGGAGGCGTCTCCTGCGGCACCCCAGAGCCACCGCCGTCACCACGGCCGCAAACGCTACCATTGCCGTCAGCTGCTTTGCCACGGCCACGCCGCGCGGTGCCTCCCGGGGCCACCGCAGCACCGTCCAAGGCGTCTCCTCGCCCCCTGATCGTGTCGCCTTCACCAACCGCGGACCCCCCTTCACGGCGAGCGTCACCCCTCGCCGCCGACCTCTTCCCCGCCGCCCTGCCGGCAATCTCGCCCCCGCAACTCCTCTCCCCGCCCGGCGGCGGGGATTCATCCCCAGCCGGGTGCCCCGAAGCGGACCTGCTGTTTTCTCCTACGCCCGTGCCGACGAAAACGTCGCCGGCCGCAGATGGCGGCAGCGCCGCTGTTCCTGGCACGGCCGAGGGAGAAGTCCCACGCGGAGACGGCGACGACGCGTACGCCTCTGCTCCCGCAGTTCCCCCCGCTGCAACGGCTAGGACCCCCAGCGGGATCAGCTCCTCGAACAGGCCGCAGCCACCGCTGCTGCCGCTGCTGCTGCTGCTGCTGCTGCTGCTGCTCCTGCGAGGAGGCGCCCCCCGGCGAGCAGGCAGCGGAACTCGGATAGCGGCCGAGGATGTGCCGCTTTCGCCTATACCATCGCCGCTGCTGCTGTGTCGTCGTCGGCGTCGTCGCCTCGGACCCTCGCTTGAATCCTCCCCGGAAGCAGCAGCAGCAGCAGCAGCAGCAGCGGCCAGGCCGACCGGCCCGGGGGTGGGCGTTGCTACCGCTGCCTCTCCTGCACTCCTGGCAGTGACCGTAACAGCAGCAGCAAGAGCAGGAGCAGCAGGAGCAGTGCTACTCATACTCGCGCTGGTGCTACCGCCATCGCCGCCCAAGAAGAGCTCCTGCAGGCGACGGGCCGGCACAGAAGCGGGCACCGACATCGTCGGCACCGAAGCCGCCACAAGGCCGCCGCCGCCGCCGCCGCCCTCTGCACGTCGGTGGTTGCCTGAGGCGGCATCACGTAGGTCGCCAAAGGTAGTCCGCTCCACTCCGATAATTTCCTCGTCCTCACCGCTACCGCCCGCCGCGTTTCTCCTGCTGTCTAATGAAGCGCGGCGCCGGCTGGGCGGGGGAAGGCTGACGCCTCTGTCGAGCCTGGGAAAGCTGTGTGGAAAATCTGGGGGCACACGGGCAAGAGGATGGGCATTCGAAGGGTGGGGAGGTCGTTCTTGAAAACGATCCTTCCGGCATTGGGTGACGACAAACGCTCTACAAGTCGCCGCAGCGTCGTTTGGTTCCGAGAGTCGTGGAGGCGCGCGCGCCAGGAGAGATCGATAGAGCCATGGCACCAACGGGAGGATTGCCTCTTGCGGGACCCCTCTTGCCGGGCACATGAAATGGACGGCATGGCGTGGGAAGCCTGACTGAAGGCATCCGGCAGTCAGGTAGTGAATGGAGGCCGATAGGAGCGCACCCTCATGAGCGGGGGCATCTGATAGGAATCACCCGCCGCCTCTTGCAGTACCCACCGTCTCCGCCACGTCACAGCGTTTCCTTCTCCGGTAAGGAGCTACCAAATCGATCCAGACCAAGGGTGACACGGAACATACGCCCTGCGGAGTTTTTCTTCGTATCGAAGCCAACAGGGCACACACCAAAAACTACCTTCTCCCACATCAAATTCCCACGAACAAGCAGCGCATTTAGTAAGCGCCGGAGTTTTGAAAACCTCTAACCTTAACCGCCCATAACATCCTCGAGGATACACACGCCGTTAGACCGACGACCACCGCCGTGGAGACCCTGACGGGCAACACAACAGCCTAACCTTGCGAGGCAGCAGGTCGCCGCCGCTTGCCCCTAGCGCCACCGGCCTTCTCCGACGACGACCCCTCCAAGGAGACGGTTCTCGCCGGCTTCACTGCTGCAGAAGAAGAAGGCGATCGCCCGCCTTCGCTGCCACCGCCGGGCGCTGCGGCAGCGGCACCAGCTGGCGACGTCGACTTGTGGCCTCCGCCGCTGTTCCGCCGGGCCCGTTTTTTCTTTCGAGCGGAGGGGGACGGGGACGCCATTCGTGCGCCGGAAGACGCTCAAAACGTTCAACACCACCTTGGCAGGCGTCGTCTCCCTGCGGGCTTGCGCGAGGTCGACTCAATGCCGTGCGCGCGGCCTCTCTCTCTCCCTCTCTCTCTCTCTCTCTCTCTCTCTCTCTCTCTCTCTCTCTCTGGCTACCTCTTCGTGTGCATGCGTTTTTTCCTGTCGGGGAGAGGAGGCAGCCTCAGGTCCCTGCGGACAACAGTGCGACGATGAGGAAGGGAGAGCACGATCACAGCTGTGATCTGTGGGCAACAGCTAGAGTCGACTGCTCGCTCGATCGCACATGAACATCAGCGTTGGTATGCTTGGTGGTACAACTGGAGTGTTTCGTCCTGATGCGCTGAAAGAGACACAAAGCGCGGTTCGTGAGGGACGTTGTTGACGACCGGCAAAGCTACGCGGCTGGGTAGAGCGCTGCACAGCAAAACCGGGGCAACACTCCCACGTCTGCACCTCTTACAAAACGGACCTGCACGTGGCATGTGCGCAAAAGATGCTGCGTGGTTAGCTATGCGTGGTGTACACGGATAGCACCGCGGCGAAAAATCAAACGGGGACAGAACGGCTTATTCCCCCACGGACGGGGCCACCATAGGTTGCTCAAGATACCGCACCCCCTGGAACGGATCAGATCACTCTGAAGGAAAAACGAAAGAAAAAAAAACCGTCGCGGCGTACAACTTGACGGCGTTGGAATTGTCTCGTGGAGTGCTTCCCGAAAAAGAATCAAACAGGTTTTGGTAGCTTCCTCTTCGTCGTGGAGGACAACAACGTCTAGACGATTGAAACTCTGTGTATGGGGGGTGTGGTATCTTACGAACATGTGGCATCATTGGGAGACCGACCGTCTCGAACATGTATTGGGAATCACTTTTCCTAATCGGTGAAGCAACATTCACCATTATCGGCACGTTCATGAGATTTGTGAAGAAAGCAACGCATTCGCAAGATGGAGGCAAAGCGTGCGGAAAAAATGACCTGCTGGATATCTACTTATCAAGGAACAGCAGCAAATTGCTGTACCCTGCGCCTGTGCTTCTTCGGCGCCTGCTATTGCTGGGGAAAGAGGCATGAGCAAATGTAATACGCGCGGAGAACAGCAGTCAGTACATGTGCTTGGAAGTGCCCCATACAGCAAAAGCCCTGGGCTGCACGCGCTCCAACTGTCAACGCCACAATCCAGAGCAGTGCTACACGTATCTTTTGCATCCGGGCGGGCTGTGCTGCTGTGTCCGAAAGGCGCGGTGGATATAAACCAACTGCTGGTTGTGTTCGCTAATTCGCTGCAGGGAGTATATTGCAGGCTGACATCTTGAATTCGCGTGCCTTCGTGGGCTGCCGCTCACCTCACACCAGAGAACCGTGGAATATATCAGAAGCGCTCACCCCGAGTTGCAGCCGGCGGAGAGCGCTTGGGGTGACGTTTAGCCCCTTGCTTGTTTGGCTTGCTGCTCCGGGGAGTCTCGCACTACGGACTACTGAGGATTTCAAAAATTTGTGAACCACAGGGGCTCCGTGCATCACACCGCCGTACGCAGAAGAAAGAGGCTCCGAAAATTCACCTGCACCTCTCTCCTCTCTCCTACATATGTACTACGTGGTGCCTGCCAACCGCCCCCAGACCTAGGCGGGGGAGAGGAAGAGTGATTGATGGCTGTAATCACTGAAACACTGGTGCTTTTTCTGGTGGGGGGGTCATGGAATCGAGCTGCAGCATTCATCTCGTCAGGTATTTGTCCCTTTTTTTTTTTATCGACAAATCAACCACTGCATTCCAGCGAAGCAAACCGACACTCCGCGCAGCAGCAGAGCAAGCAGCCAGCAGCTGCTGTAGTAGCTTCATCGCACAGCAGCAGCCGACTTTACGCGTGCCTCGAAGCGTTGATGGGGCTTGCTTCGCCTCGCTGGTGGACCTGCTTCCGGTTCCCGGGGGTGCGCGAACCGCTCAGCGACCCCGTATGCATACGTGAGCGGACGATGATGACACAGACCAAGAGCGGGCCTTTGGGAATCTGCCGAGATATCTGTGCATCCTATACATACATTACCCGTTGCTCTTTCAGTAGAGGCGCGGCATCGTGCCGCACAGCAGCTCAGCTCACCTCTTGCCTTGAAGGCTCCCGATTCCGAGGCTGCGTCGCCACTGTTGCGAAGACCTATTCAAGTGTCGCCTTATACATACCTTTCGCCACACACAGTGTTGTTGACAGGGAGATCGTGTCCACGCTCTTTTTCTGGCGCTTCGTTTGGTGTAGTTCGCGTACGTGTCCATACTATCTGTCCAAGCCCCACTGCATTACAGTCTGCGGCAGTACATACATTTGCCAGCAACTTCATGGCCTTTATGCCCTTCAGAGTGGAGACGAATCGAGAGAAGCTTTGCGCTCGAAACAATCGAAATAACGCGATGGCATGCTCTCTGCAAGCTTCAAATGCATAGTCAGTCGCTTTCCCACACTCGGAGTCCACACTCGGCGACGAGACATGAACGCTTTTTGTAGCTTTGACATCCTGGGATACACGACACACATTGTGCCACATCATACAACTCTACCCCAACAACGCGTAGGATCCGGTTGCACGATGACCCAATTTGTTGCACATGCCAGCCGGTGATCGATCAGCCAGCCTCCTCACCCTACAATGTGGTCCCGATTCAGCGGTTTCCCGGGCCGTGTTTAGCGGGGGAATCTCGTTGTTCCGCAGCACCCCGGTTGAACGGTTACATAACCGCTACATACACACCGAGTTGTTTCCAGCGAGCAGTAAAATGTAACGGTCTTTGATTCAAATCTGCGAAGACTCCCCCGGCGCGCACACCATGCACAAGCCTTACGCCGGGGGGAGCCCGATGAATCCCGTAGCAAGGCTGTTCGAAATATCTCCTGTTATGCGTATCAGAGTGGCGTATCATCGTGGCAGGCGGGTTGACGCGGTCGATAACATTCAACGGAAACACGCAGAAGTTCGCGACGCTACGTATGACCCGCTAAAACGGGGAACCCCACCGCTGTACACGAAACAGGGCCAGCAGGGCGACCGACTCCACTGAGGAGTCCGCCACGCTCTTGTCGACACTCCCGCCACCACCATCACCACCTCCCGCTCAGCGATGACCACCACCCGAGGATCACGGGCAGACCGCAGCAACGGCCACGGCGACGACGACGGCGACGGCAAGGTGAAGAACTTGTAGGGGATAGCTGTAACCATCGTCCGATCGCCGCCTTGTTTGGATGGGCACCATCGTCGTCGTCATCATCGTCGTCGTCGTCGTTGTCTTCGTCTCGGGAAGAGCTGCTGGAGATCACCTGCGACGGGACCAACACCACCGCCTTCTCCGGCACAGTTCCCCCCACCGTAGGCCGGGATAAGGAAAATTCTCTACACGGAAGCAGCAGCGTCGAGGCTAGCGGTAGGGCGGCGGCGGTGGCGGCAGCAGCAGGGCGGGGTCGACGCGGGACGTCCTATCCGGAGGGAGAGCGGGCGGGGGACCGTTCCGGAGACCGTTCCAGGGACCGTGCCAGGGACCATTCCGTGGGTCTGATTGTCTCGATGAGGCAGCTCTCGATACTAGGTGCCTTGGCGGGGGTGGCTGCCGTGGCCGTCGGCTACGAGCACGGTATGGCGGGCTTCCTCTGGATTCAGGACTGGGTGAGTGTTCGAGATACATGCCAAGCCACCCATGTGCCGCGCGCATAAATACCGTGGCTATCGTTGTCATGGTGATATACCATAAAGTGGTATTTCGCTATACAGCGTCTCTAGTGTTGTTATGCAAGCCTGGAACGCCCAATCTGCAGGTCGTCGACCTTCCCCCCCCCGGCCAACCCCGTCGCCGCCTCTCCCCCTGCCTTAATTTTTCAGGCCGGAGTCACCGCGCCGCACTTTCCCCCGCGCACCGCCGCGGACGGCGCCGGGCAGGTGCACCTCACTCCCCTGAAGAGCGTCGCCACGGGACTGGGGGCTGGGTTCACGCGGGCGGTGAGCAGGACGCTGACGTTTCCCCTGGACACGATCAAGACCAGGAGCCAGCTCTCGAGGCTCGGGGCGGATGACCGGGCCCTACTGCCGGAGGTGCGTCTTTGGGTTCGCGCGGCGTTTCGCTTGTGTTTCTCCTAAGCTTGTGCTACGTCGGTGATTGCCTTGCTACGCTGAGCTTAGTGTGGACTAAAAGCTCTTGTACTTAAATCGAAAATAAAAAATCAATCGCCGACGGAGCACAAACCTCGTTTGTCTCTCAACAATTTTGCCGCGCAGCGGTGCGAGATGTCATTGAATGGGTTTTGTTTTGCGGTTGAGCATCTCTAGGTTTTCGACGGTGCACTATTGGAACTCCTGTTTCGGTTGGTGTGTTCGTCTAGCATGCTCTTTCTCGTGTTGTCATCGCTTCATGTCGAGAAATCGGACCGGACATTGCAGCCGGACTGCTGTCTCACTCCTTCACGCCGGAAACGACAACAGTAGGTAGATATGGCAGGCAAAAGTATTTACTACAGCTCGTTTGACCGTTGCTCGTTGCTCCCTCTTGTTTCCCTTGTCGTCCCTTGTTTCCCCGCCGTCTCAGGAGATGCTTCGGTTAATTGACGGGCCAGCCACTTTCAAGGGCGTTTTCAAGGGCTTCTCGGCGTTTCTAGCCCAGGTGCGTGTGTTCTTTGGCGTCGACCGCGCCAACTGGCTGGCCAATGGAGATGCGTCCATGTTTGTCCGTGGTTGTGGTTGCACGTTGTCATGTGCCTGAAAGTGTTTGTAAGGAAAAGTAGGGTAGGTACCAGGCTGTTTAGTGACATTCTGTCCAAGCGTTTGGCTCCAGAAAAACACCGCTTTGTTCCCGCCGCGCATGTCCATGCGCTTTGTCGTTTCCGTCCGTTTCGGACAGTTTACGCTGCTGGAGGGACTCCGCGTGTACGGTGATACTTTGATGTTTTTTCAATCCCAATCAATCGGTGAAGTCTCTTATGATGGTCGACGAACGGTTGTCGAAGCTGCTTTGGAGTGACGCGTCGTACTCCCTTCGGACTACTTTTTATAATCGCAAAACCCCCTCGGCTCGCGTCCCGCGCTCCTTTCCCGCTACATACCGTGTACCACGTTTTACGGTACGGGGACACACGGTCGTGCTCAGGCAGGACCCTCGAACGCCGCCTTTTTTCTTTTCTACGATGCGCTCAACGCGATCGGGGCGGCCGCCATTCTCGGCGCAGACGGCAGCGGCGGCATCTCTCCTTCCCTTTCGTCCTCCTTGTGGCCGACAGCGCTCCATCTCGGGGCGTCGTCGGCAGCCACTGTCCCGGCCAACCTCGTGCGGACGCCCGCGGAGGTGGTGAAGCAGAGACTCCAGGTGTGTCGCCGGAAGTTAGAATGGAGTGAGGCGTTAGGGAGGCAGAGGCCGCCGCTGGGGGGTGAGATGGAGTGCGTTTTGGGTAGTTGAGCCCAAGTTATGTTGTGCGGTGTGTGGGAAGTTTGTGGTTCGGAACGACGCCAGAGTTTCGAAGGTGGGTCGTATCGGTCGTTGTTTTTGTCTTTCCTGGGGTGGGTGCCTTCCTCATGGAGTTACCAATGAAGCAGGCGAGCTGGACTCACACAAGAGCCGGCTTTGGTTGGAGATGAAGGCAAGCCGCGCGCCCGACCACGAGCCGCGTCACGTTACATGCCTCCTCCACACAACTCACACACACGTACATGCCTTTTTTCCACACGAACGTGAAAAATTGCCCAGGTCGGGCGGGAGAGCGGAAACTCTCTGCAGGCGTTACTCTCTATCGTCAGGGCGGAAGGGGCGAAGGGGCTCTTTGTTGGCGGAAAGGAGCAGCTCCTGAGGGAGATCCCGTTCAACGCGGTCCAGTTCACGGTGTACGAGGTGTGTTCTAGCTTGATGCGCCGGCAAGTCAGCTGCACGTGCACTGGCGTAGCGTTCGCAAAGAGTTTTTGTTGTACAACCGTCGACTACCTCTGGGTCTCTTCCTACAAAGCCGAGTTCGTTTTTTTGGCTTCGAATCGACGTGCAGCTGCCGCATGCCTTCGCGAGGCCCAGGTCAGAAAGCACGAAGAATTTTTTCGCGTGGCGCTTACGAGTTCCAGCAGATAACTCTCTAGGGAAACGCCACCGCTGTCGCGACCACTAGCCTAGCTGGCATCGGCTGCTCTTGTCTGTCTCCCTCCCCGCTTCCTCAGCCAGAGTAGTATGTATACGACCTCCTCCCGTTAACGCCGCTTCCTTGACCCTGCACTCCCATGTCTTCATCCCGTTCGATGCCCCCCGCCCCCCCCCGAAGTATTCCCCATCGCTACGTCTCCCCCGCATACGCATTCCCCATCTCTGTCTCCGCCCTCCGTGCCCACACACAACCTGGCCTTCGTGGTCAATGCTTCCGGTCGTCATCAGTGCCTGAAGGCTTCCCTTGGCAGCTCGGAGCTTTGGGCGGACGCCGCCCTGGGGGCGGCCTCGTCGGCTGCCGGGGCTTTGGCCACGCAGCCGGTCGACACCGTCAAGACGCGGGTCATGACCAAGAGGTGAGTGAGGACAACCTTACGTACACGGTAATACGTACCACTTCTTCTGGTAGGCTCTTTCTGGTGCCGTCTTGATCGGTGGTGTCAACATGTGGTTATTGGATTCATCCACATCCGCATGTATGATTTCTTCCATGGACGCATATTTTTGCGCGCCTTGTTCTACCGCCCCCCCTAGCAACCACGATGTAATTGCAAACGCTGTTTTTCCGAGGACTTTCAAGGCCCCTAGACACGACTCATTCGAACGACCAACCGCATACGCCCCCGCACATTCCACCGCATCGCACACACTCCCCTGGAACAACAGTGTCCCGGGGTCGTTAGGTGGGGATTCCCCGGGTTTCATCAAGTCTGCCTCCCTGGTGGCGGAAGCGGAAGGGGTGACTTCCCTCTTCTTGGGCCTGTTGCCCCGTCTGGTGCTGGTTAGGTGAGAGGTCGGGGCGCGCGGGCGGTTCATTATCGAGGGGAAAATGGCTATTTTTGTTGCTGAACTTGCGACCAATTCAACCCTATTCGATCACTCCTGTGTTGGTGAAAGCGAGCCGGATCCGTGCTGGCCGTGCTGATCTCTTAGTGCTAGGAGTGAAGCCTACACTTAGGGCCCACTATCTGCGTACAGTACGTTAATCCGGGCAACCGCTGTGGTTTTCAAGCCTAGGTTAAAATGAGTGTGCCGCTACCTTATGTGTCCCATCTGCGTGTCCCCCTTCCCTCGTTTCCTTTCGGCCTGTGCGCGAGATTCTTTCCTTATTATTTTTGCCAACATCCCCCCTTTTGCCGCCTCGTGCTCGGTCATAGCACCGGCGGGGCGTTCTACTTCTGGGGGCAGGAATTCGCATCACAGCTCATGAGCCGGGCGGGGTTTTGATCCGAATCGTGACCAATGTTGACGAAGGCTCTGCCCGCCTCGCCTCTCTTCCGGCAGTCCGACCCGCGCCGAAGCGGAGCACTGGTGTACAGAGCCAAGCCTTGCCGGCGCGGGGACCGCGGGTTTAGCTGTGGTTTTATTTGTCCATCACAGCAACCAAATATGGTATTGGTTGGTGCAGTACCCTGCGACAAGCAGCCGGAGCCCGCCATTTTTACAAACGGAGGTCAAAGCGCAAAGGGGAGGGAATCCCAAAGTTTCCATCTCCTACCTGTAATATTGTAAATACAAATGCATGTTTTGACCTTTCAACTGTTCCGGACCTTGAAGAAATTTCCGTCTTACTGCGTGTTACCGCTGCAGCTGCTCGTGCCTTGTCGGTATATGTTGATTGGTGTCCCGCTAGACGGGATGTGAGCTGGTGGTGGTAGGAGGGAGGATTTCTCTTCCAAAGGCTTGCCGTGGCGGCGATCGATGCGTCGTGGTGGTTTGTGTTGTGGTGGGACGGCAGTGTAGGTAGGGTATCAAATTTCCCGAGTAGGGAGGAGTCACTTCCAGTATAGGTAGGGTACGATTTCCCGAATGTACTACTTCCGATTTTGCTGTACACCAATTTTGGCGCAGAAAATGCAGACGAGTTTGTTGGCTAGCAGTGTGGACGTTGCGAATATGCCATTTGATGTGTTGTTTTTGGTCTTTTTGATTTAACGAAGGTTGTTACGAAGTAGTGCAGAGTGCTGTTCAGCTTTCTTGCCCAGCTTCTCAGAGGTCTGGGCAATACAAGAGCCGAAGGATGTGTGTTGTTTCTCGCGTTTGCTTGTGCTTGGGGGCGTTCGTTGCCACAATCTCAAGTCGCAGGTAAGACTGTTCTTCGCGGTTCGACGTAAACGAAGGTTGCCTTGCTTATCCGGCGTGATTCGTGGAACCTCGTCTCCAGTCGCCGGGCCCGCGCGAGCAGAAACGAGGCGGGGGATTCCATGGCGGATGTAGCTGCTGTGTAAGCCGCCCCGTGGAATTTTGACAACAGAGTACAACGCGACAGATTGACCCCGAACTGATTTTCGCTGCAGTCTAGCAGGCGTTGGTCGAGCTCTGGCTGTTTTCAAATTCATATTCACTCAGACCTACGTGGAGTAAATGCGGAGAATACACCATTGTCCGGCATGTGCCTACCAGAAATATGAGATGAAATAGCGCACAGCCGGAAAAGCTGTCGAGATCCTCAATTGATGGTTGTGAGACTGTCACGTGGTGGTATGATATTGACTACTCTGCTTTGGTGCCTCTTCGTCGTGGTCGACCTGGACTTTGTGATCGACCTCGTCGCACGATCTCGCCAATTTCGACAGGATTCACTGGCTGGAGGTCATTTCACAACATACGGAGATCATCCTCGACAAAAAGCTCATATCGTGAAGTCATTTTCGAACATGTCGTCGAAGTTGCCTGCCTGCAATTCCTGACTTGCTGTGATACACATTGGGATAGGATCAGCCGCGGCCGTAGTTTCCAAAGAAATGAGCATGCCATGGCCTACTCTTCGTGATACTGAAGCCAGAAAATCAGGTCAGCTGTCTCCAGATGATTCACGTATCACCCCGCACCACCCCGCCGTGACCTGTGAAAACGGTCCGGCTCGAACGGCCGACAGCAGTCTCGCGACGAGTCTAGACTTTCTTGGGGTTTGGGGTTCCGTCGTGGCGAGCACTGCATAGATCAGAATCACCCACCCCCAGCCCAACCCCTGATAAACGACGCGATCGCACCACCGCCAGCCATCGACTGCCTTGAGTCTTGCAGGGGGGGTACGTGTAGTCTAGCACTCCTGCCGTGGCAAAAGTTTGGATACCAGACGGACGGTGATGGTTACTCTGCAGTCCCGACATGTTTGCAATCCTCCTTTTCTTCCGGTGTTCACTATCGTCGGTAGAGAACAAGGACGGGGACTCGAGCGAGCGGAAGGGGCTGGACCTTGATTGACCTGTTCGTGTGAGTGCGTATGTAGTCGGATCTGTAGACGAGATGACTGTTTCAGGTGCCCTGCACATAGGTATGCGTCGCGTAGTACGGCCAGAGAATGATTGTGCGGAGCCCCCACGCCAGCTGCTGTCAGCTGTCATGGGCCTTGTGCGTGGCACTCCCTGCTCTTTCCTCCCAACCGGGTGTGAGAGATAACAAGCATCTAAACATCAAGCACTACTGTCTCTACAAAGACAACAAAGGCATACCACTTAGGGTTGACGAATACCGTAGAGTTTCCTTCGAAGGAGCCCCTTTGCAGATATTATTCCTGGCGATACCCCAGCGAGCGATAGCGGCGGAACCACGATCGACACGCGCGTGACGGAGCTGTCCATGAGGCTGGAGGACCAAAGCAAGGTGCTGTTGTCTGTCATGGAGAAGCTAGGGCAACTTCAGATGCCGCCTGCCAGGGCGGCGGGGGCAGAAGAGGGAGAGTCAAGCGGCGCTGGCAACGCCGCAGGGCGCAGCGGAGCCGCGCCGGGCACACGGTTTGGGGTGCCACCCGATGGAGTCGGGGGACCAGGTCCCCCGTCCGCTGATGAAATGAAACCTCACGTCGATGTGTTTTGATGTGTTTCGTGCGACCTGAGCTGAGGGGGTTCTGGGCCATAGCGTTAGTAGTGCAGAACCCCCTCAGCTCAGGTCGCACGAAACACATCAAAACACATTCGTGGTTTCATTTCATTAGCGGACGGGGGACCTCTGGTCCCCCGACTCCATCGGGTGGCACCCCAAACCGTGTGCCCGGCGCGGCTCCTCTGCGCCCTGCGGCGTTGCCAGCGCCGCTTGACTCCCCCTCTTCTGCCCCCGCCGCCCTGGCAGGCGGCATCTGAAGTTGCCCTAGCTTCCCCATGACAGCCGACAGCCCTTGCTTTGCTCCTCCAGCCTCATGGACAGCTCCGTCACGCGCGTGTCGATCGTGGTTCCGGGGCTATCGCTCGCTGGGGTATCGCCAGGCATAATCTCTGCGAAGGGGCTCCTTCGAAGGAAACTCTAGTGTTTGCGGCCTACGCCACTTACTATCGGGTGAGACTGTTTTGGTGATGTATTAACTTGACGAGAGGTAAACGACCGTCGTTCACACGGACGAAAGAGGGAGTGCCCCACATGGCCAGCTCCTACACCAAGGAGGGGCCCCGTGACTCATCGCGGTGCCCCCTACCAAACGGCAATCTTACCAATCTGCGGACCTACATAAACTCGAGAGGGGGTTGCTCGGCGTCCGGTAGGGGTATCCGAAGCAGCTGCGACTCTCCCCGGGATCAAGCAAACCTGCTGGCATGGCGGTAGCGTGGAGGTGAAAGCTATGGGCACGGCCATCCGAGGAGGCAGAGCTTGCTGCAGCTGTATTTATCTGGTTCCGTGCTGTAAGACTGTTCATACGCGATTGAAATACGCATATATGTACCATTCCATTCTGGGGACAGGGACAAAGCAGATGTATGTGCACAAGGTGATCTCGAACATTGGCCTACTCATCTAATGAGCTTACCGATTCAGAGGACAACGCCCTACCATCTAACCGTCCTGGTGCTGGGCCGACGTTCAGGTTTTTCCCCCCAGTAGACTGTGGCTTCCGAGGCTTCGCATTTACAGTCCCATTTCAGGTTCTTGGGCACATCCCTGTGCCAAATCTTCGTTGTTGCGTAACAACTGTATACGTCAGTGCGGTACGTGCATCCTCGAAACAACCTGGGTAACGCGAAAGCACGTGTGTATGTAGACTACACGTGGAGGGCGTAGGTTCGATTCAATATGGGCCTGACAATAGCATGATGTAGGAGAGACGATGAGATGAAGACTCAGCGGCTTTGGACTTGCCACGTTCGGCGCCTCTGCGCAATATAGTCTACTGGTGTTGCACGGTCCGTACGCTCTGGACCAGACCATGAAGAATCGCAAGTCCAATGACGTGGTTTGTCTGTCTACTGTGTAGTAACTCACACCACTACAATATCCATACAATCTAAAACATGACAGGGAGATTGACAGGTGCCATATATAGAGGTGTGATGGGTTGATGGGTGCTGCGAGGAATTTATTTGGAAGTATAAATGTGTCCATTCGTGTCCCAAAAGTACAAAAAGGTGTAGATCACCACTGTTTCGTGCTCTGCGCCGCCGCCCGCTGTCAAACACTGGTTGGTGTTGTGCTGCGTGTTGCTCAAGGTATATCCTGGTCCGGCTATCAGTTCAGTCTCCCTCGTGGCACATCCACCAACACCGCTCCGTTCACCCACGGCGGGCCCGGGATATCCCCGGCGAGAGGATGCAGGGAGCATCGGTGGGCGTCGACGGGGGATAAGCTTTGTTCATATCTCGATAGCGATCATATCGTTCTGCTTCGCCCTGATGCACTACTTGATGGTAGCGCTTCAATGTGTAAGCACGGTTTTCACGGCTTCATATGATGCTTCGACTGATACACCGAGCTCGGAGCTATCTATAGCCCACGGGACTGGACGCATGGTCTCTCTCCGACGGTGGTGATTGATGGAGTGGTCTGCGTTCTTGAAGGATCTCGAGGTTGAGATGGGCGTGGGTGCCTTGTACATCACACCTCATTCTTCACGAACGGCTGAGGTAAAAACACATCCGCATGCTTGAATTCCTCGTCAATATCCCCCCCCCCCCCCCCCCCCCCCCCCCCCCCCCCCCCCCCCCCCCCCCCCC